TTGGGAGTTGTAGTTGCTAGGATTTATAGTTCACCTACAATCGAAGAGCATTCTGAACCTCACCAATGATATTTATTAGGGCTGGGCAGTTTCGTTTCGTAATTTCGTAATTCGTTAAAAATTCATTATTTTTTTATAACGAAGCGATAACGAACCATTCAGGAGCAACTAAAAAACGAAACGAATTTTTAAATTCGTTTCGTAATTGTTTCGAATTCGTTTTGTATTCGTTTCGTTATCGTTTTGAAATCGTTTCGTTATTATTTCCGCATGTCTGGGGCAAGTTTTATAGTTGTTGTTTGTTTAATCAGTGAAAAAAATTATAAATATCACACCAACAGTCAACAACAGAGGGAGAGGGAAGCTTCAGAAGTTCCCCCTGTCCCATTTGGAGGTTTTTTAGCGTATTGCGCGGTCGCGTCCGCCATTAACGAATCGATTCGTAATTGTTTCGTATTGTTTTGTAATTTACGAAATTTCGTAAATATCGAACTTTTTAAAAGAAAAATTTCGGAATTCTTTTAAAAATCGAAACGCAAAAACCCCCAAAAAACGAATCGATTTTAGAAACAAATTTTTCCGTGGTTGGACAGCCCTAATATTTATTTATTATTCTATTTACTATATTTCTACACCGCCCTTCTCAGCCCGAGAGCGACTCAGGGCGGTTTACGAAACCGGCACAATTTGATGCCACAGTAATATCAACAGTTAAAAGCATATAAGCATCCATAAAATTCCATAAACAATAAAATCAATAAAACATAAATCCTCCATATCTAATTTCCAGCATCTTTATCCAATTGCAATTGTCCAGCCGTTCCAAGGTCAAGTAATTATTTACTACATTGCATTTGAGAAAGCCTGCTCACAAAGCCAGGTTTTGAATTATTTCGAAATGTTAGGGGAGTGGGAGTCGATCTGAGGAGGGCGTTCCATAGCCGAGGGGCCACCACTGAAAAGGCCCTACCTCTCGTCCCCGGCCAACCAAACCTGTGAAGAAGGCAGGACTGAGAGCAGGGCCTCTCCAGAAGATCTTAAATTCCTGGATGGTTCATAAGGAGAGATACGTTCGGACAGATAAGCAGGGCCAGAACCGTCTAGGGCAGGCGTCCTCAAACTTTTTAAACAGAGGACCAGGCTACAGTCCCTCAAACTGTTGGCGGGCCGGATTATAATTTGTAATGCACACTGCACATAGCTTATTTGTAGTGCAAAAAAACTTGAAAACAATACAGTAATTAAAATGAAGAACAATTTTAACAAATTTAAATTTATTAGTATTTCAATGGGAAGTGTGGGCCTGCTTTTGGCTGATGAGATAGGATTGTTGTTGTTGTTGTTGTTGTTGTGTGCTTTCAAGTCGTTACAGACTTAGGTTGACCCTGAGTGAGGGCCGGGTAAATGACCTTGGAGGGCTGCATCCGGCCCCTGGGCCTTAGTTTGAGGACCCATGGTTAGGGTTTTATAGGCTAAACCCAGCACTTTGAATTGTGTTCAGTAGCAGACTAGCAGCCAGTGGAGCCGGCGCAACAAAGGAGTTGTGTGCTTCCTGAGTGCCACTCCTGTTAGTAACCTGGCTGCCGCCCGTTGGACCATTTGGAGCTTCCGAACAGTCTTCAAAGGCAACCCCACGTAGAGAGCGTTGCAGTAGTCTATACGGGATGTAACCAGAGTGTGGACTACCGTGGCCAAGTCAGACTTCCCAAGGTACGGGCACAGCTAGCGCACAAGTTTTAATTGTGAAAAAGCTCTCCTGGCCCCATGATAAACAGAAAATACTGTGTTTTCTAATTGTTTTCGGCGACCCCTCTGACACTCCCCCATGACCCCCAGGGTTGAGAAACACTGGTCTAAGGGGAGGAAAGGAAGCAAGAGAATGGAAGGAAGGAAAGAAACAAGAAAGGGAAGATCCTGCAGCAGATTTTGCTCTAGTTTTTCAATGGATCTCTCATCGAGCCTCAACCAATTCAATCTAGTTTGCGGCAGCCACAAAAACAAAGTTTGTGGAGTATGGCAACTACTTTCAAAGCAAGGACTGCACAATTAAACAGGAAATCACACTTTCAAACCAGAAGCAGAAGGCCAACCTTTGAGGTCCATGAGGATGAGGCGGGGGGTGTACGTCTCCTGCCCTTGGGAGGATCTTCCCGGCCGGAAGAGCACATTGTGGTGAAGGGTCTCGTCGGATCTTGCAGTCGCGGAATCAGAGATGTATGAAGATTCCTGAGGAAGGGAGAGGAGGACGCAAAGGCTTCATATACAGCTAATAATCTGGCTATTTAAGCAACTGAACACTTCAAAGAATCCTTGGAAAGGACTATCCAGTCCAACCCAGTTCAGCCATAATGGTGGATGCCATCAAAGCCCTCCCAACAGATGGCCATCCCCAGAGATGAATCTCCATGTGGAGGGACTCAGAACGGCTAACAGCAAAAATTCAATGCAGGACAATAAAGAACATTTTAAAACAACATACATAATACAATAGGTTAAAAATACATATAAATTCAAATACATATAAAACCATTCGCAAAGTTAAAGACATCATCCAACTCAATCCAAACATTGTGGTCCAATAATGCTTAGTCTTTACTGGTGTCAGCCGTCACTCTGCGAATGCCTGATTCCGAAACCAGGATGTCAATTACTTCCTGAAGATTAGGAAGACCTAACCTCATTCGGGAGAGAGTTCCATAGCCGGGGGGCCACCACAGAGAAGGCCCCGTCTCTCGTTCCCACCAGGCACGACTCCATCATTATTCCTATCAAAGATTACTATTACTAAATAGAATCCTAAGGAAGGGAACCCAAAGGCCATCAGATGCAACTCAATTCTGCCAGAAAGGAAGGCAACGTCAAAAGCCCTCCTGACAGATGGCCATTCTGCTTATAAGCCTCCAGAGAAGGAGACTCCATCGTCATTGCTATCAAAGATTACTATAGTTAAATAAAATCCAAAGGGATGAAGGGAACCCAAAAGCCATCAGATGCAACTCAATTCAATGTAAGGGGAGGCACCATCAAAGCCCTCTTGACAGATGGCCATCCTGCCTCTGCTTAAATGCCTCCAGAGAAGGAGACTCCATTGTCATTACTATCTAAGATTACTATTACTAAATAGAATCCTAAGGGAATCCAAAGGGCATCAGACGCAACCCAGTTCAGTGTAAAGGAAGGCATCATCAAAGCCCTCTTGACAGATGGCCATCCTGCCTCTGTTTAAATACCTCCAGAGAAGGAGACTCTATCGACATTACTATCAAAGATTACTATTACTAGAATCCTAAGGAAGGGAACCCAAAGGCCATCAGATGCAACCCAATTCGATGTAAAGGAAGGTACCATCAAAGCCCTCTTGACAGATGGCCATTCTGCTTAAAAGCCTCCAGAGGAGACTCCATTGCCATTACTATTACTAAATAGAATCCTAAGGAAGGGAACCCAAAGGCCATCAGATGCAACCCAATTCAATGTAAAGGAAGGCACCATCAAAGCCCTCCTGACAGATGGCCATCCTGCCTCTGCTTAAATGCCTCCAGAGAAGGAGACTGCATCACGAGTACTATCAGAGGTGATTACAGAATTCTAGAGTAGGGAGAGACCAGATGGGACATCCAGCCCAACCCCATTCCGCCAGGCAGGAACACCATCAAAGCCCTCCTGACAGATGGCCACTCAGCCTCAGTTTTAACACCCTTCAGATTCGAACCCTGGCCTTTCCCGGGCCCTGGCCTTTCACCTGCAGTCCCCACCAATGGGCACCCACGCAGCCCGCGTAGGGCCCCAGCTGGAGCGTCACCACCTCTCGGGCCCCCGCCATCCCAGTCCCAATGGGCCGTTGGAAAGGGGGACCAAGCAGGAGGGTGGCACTGCGCAGGCGCAAACCGCCCTCTCGCCGCGCTTGGCTTCGAGGACTGAAACGGAAAGCTTGGCTCCCATTGGCTGAGGCAGTCGACCAATCCCGAGAAGGCTCGCGTTTTTTTCCTTCTGTTGATTTCACGCTTTCGCCACTAGGGGGCGGGGAGAAGAGGACGCTTCTTTCCTCATTCTCTGCCGGAAGTTCGAAAAGCGGAAGTTCCTGTGTTTACATCCAGGCGAAGCTGTTCTCCTGTAATGGCACAGGCGCCATTTTGGGCCAGGATGAAACTCTGCAAGGAAGACTCCAGCCAGACTTGGAGAGAGAGTGGCCAGATGCACAAGCTGGGTTTAGAAAAGGCAGAGGAACCAGAGGGCAAATTGTCAGTATCCAAATGCTGGATAATGGAGAAAGGCAAGGAGTTTCAGAAAAACATCTATTTCTGTGGGAAGGAATCCCACTGGAGCATTGCAGCACACCCAAATACCTGGGAGTCACTCTGGACCGTGCTCTGACCTACAAGAAGCACTGCCTGAACATCAAGCAAAAAGTGGGTGCTAGAAACAATATCATACGAAAGCTGACTGGCACAACCTGGGGATCACAACCAGACACAGTGAAGACATCTGCCCTTGCATGCCCAGTGTGGAACACATCTCACCACGCTAAAACAGTGGATGTGGCTCTTAATGAGACATGCCACATTATCACGGGGTGTCTGCGCCCCACACCACTGTAGAAATTGCACTGCTTAGCCGGTATTGCACCACCTGACATCCGCCGGGAAGTAGCAGCCAAGAGTGAAACGACCAAGGCAGAGACATCTCCAGCTCATCCCTTCTTTGGGTATCAGCCAGCATGTCAACGACTTAAATCAAGAAATAGTTTTCTAAGATCTACAGAGACACTCGCTGGAACACCTCAGCAAGCGAGAGTTCAAAAGTGGCAGGCTCAAACCCGGCACCTCAATCCGTGGGTGATACTGATGTCAAGCGCACCCCCCCCCCCCCCCCCAAATAAGGGATAGTGACATAGTTCTGCAAAGGGCAAGGGCACCAGACTACACAACAAGGGTTAAGTCTTGGTCACATTGCCAAGGCACTAACAACAACAAGGACCCCACAAGGCTTTTTGGGAAATGGCTGGATCTTGGGACTTCTGCCCTTTGCGGGAGCTGTAGTTTCCAAGGACCGAGTGATGGACTTTGGTGCTCTTTTCAACTCAGCACCCATCTGTTGGCTTCTGCCTGTTAAAAAGGGACTCTTTGCTGCATGATTTTGGCCACTTGCCGCCCCCGTTTCCACGAACCTTCTGCCGGGGCATGGGATTTCTAGTTTCCTTTTTTTCTCTTTTAAATAAAAGCTCGACATTTTAATAAAAATGAAGATGTGGGGTGGTAAGGGGATTCTTTTTGTATGATCCTGTCTAAAATAATGCTGTATGAATTGTATTCTGTTTTCCATCTTTCCTTTTGACTTTTGCCCCACAAAAGTGATCAGAAACTGCTGCTAGGCTCGAGGAAGATTCCTATCTCCCTCGAAACCCAGATTGTTGATTGATTCACCTACACAACACAATAGTCACCAACCCTTGTCTCGTCTTCCGAGCCGGCTAGCGAGATAAGGAATTCCATGGGATTTTGGAAAAGAAAATAATTAAGAAATCGCAAAGGGCAACGTTGATCCTTTGAGGTCCGAAGCCCGATCTTGTTGATTCTCCCCCCAAAAGCCCATCAGGAACAGGAAATCTTTGTTTGCTACCCTCACATTCTGCCAGCCAAGGACAATACTTCATATTCCGGCCGGCCAGCTATCTGTAATCCCATCATTTCCTCATTGTTTTGAGATTGTCCCGCCTCCCCTCTCCTGATTCGTCCATTTCTAGGAGCGAGAGGAATGCGATGATTGGCCCTCTAGAGGCGGAGAAGCACGCTGATTGGCTCGGAAGCGGGACGGGCTGCGAAGCCTCCTCCCAGCTGTTCGGCCATCAGCCAATCAGAAAAAAAGCCGGCCGGCAAGGGGGCGGGCGGGAATTTTGAAACCTTTTCCTTTGAATTTTCATTTATAAAAATGCTTGTAACATGCCTAGCTTTATGCTTGTGGTGGAATGATCCCTGCAATGCATCCGATCTCAGCTGAATCGCTAATAAAACACCTCGATTGCTTGGAACTTCTTCCACTTTGGTGAAGTATTATTATTTTTAATATTTTTAATCGCTGAAATTGGTTTCGCCTGGCTTCACCAAGGTTTTTAAGGACCCTTTTGGCGCGGTCCTCAGGGATCTCCCTTACTGGGAAGACCCTCCACAAAAGCAGCTCGATATCAATACCAGATGAGAGACTCCCTCCTGGGCACACGAGGAAGGCGCTGAACAGACTGCGCTCTGGCACCACGAGATGCAGAGCCACCCTTCAGAAATGGGGCTACAAAGTGGAATCCACGACATGCGAGTGTGGAGAAGAGCAAACCACTGACCACCTGCTGCAATGCAACCTGAGCCCTGCCACATGCACGATGGAGAACCTTTTTTGCAGCAACACCAGAGGCACTCCAAGTGGCCAGATACTGCTCAAAGGACATTTAATCAGCTACCAAGTTTGCAAAATTTGTTTTGTTTTTTTTATCTGTTTGTTTGTTTTGTTCTGTTAGAAATGTAATACAATATTCTGGTTGCGGATGACACGATAAATAAATAAATGGCACGTTTCTCCCTTTCGCCCTCCATTCGTGCCTCTTCAAATTCTGCAGCACTGCTGGTCACAGCTGACCTCCAGCTGGGGCGCTCAAGGGCCAGGGCTTCCCAGTTCTCAGTGTCTATGCCAGAGTTTTTAAGGTTGGCTTTGAGCCCATCTTTCAATCTCTTTTCCTGTCCACCAACATTCCGTTTTCCGTTCTTGAGTTCGGAGTAGAGCAACTGCTTTGGGAGACGGTGGTCAGGCATCTGGACAATGTGGCCAGTCCAGCGGAGTTGATGGCAGAGGACCATCGCTTCAATGCTGGTGATCTTTGCTTCTTCCAGCATGCTGACGTTTGTCCGCCTGTCTTCCCAAGAAATTTGCAGGATTTTCCGGAGGCAGTGCTGATGGAATCGTTCCAGGAGTTCCATGTGACGTCTGTAGAAAGCCCACGTTTCACAGGCATATAGCAGGGTTGGGAGGACAATAGCTCTATAAACAAGCACCTTGGTATCTATACGGATGTCCCGGTCCTCAAACACTCTCTGCTTCATTTGGAAAAATGCTGCACTCGCAGAGCTCAGGTGGTGTTGTATTTCGGTGTCGATGTTGACTTTGGTGGCGAGGTGGCTGCCAAGGTAGTTGCCAATGATCAACATTTTCAAATGTTACACCATTAAGCTGTATCGCTGGCATTGGAGAGGGGTTGGCTGGTGTCTGCTGGAGCAGCACCTTGGTTTTTTCAATGTTCAATGACAGGCCGAGCTTCTTGTATGCTTCTGCAAAGGTGTTTAGAGTGGCTTGCAGATCTTCTTCTGAATGCGCACAGACAACGTCATCAGCATACTGAAGTTCTATCACAGATGTTGTAACCTTGGTTTTGGCTGGGACTGGGATCGCCTAAGTAAGTAAGTAAATCCACGGATTATGGGATTAGGCTCCAACTTCCACAGACCACTACATCCTCGGGTTTCACCAACTGAAGTGAATCCATCAAAATCAGATAAGCAGGTGCTCGTGTTACATCCACAGAGACTGCCGTTAACAAGGAGTTCAGGCCAGAATGGATCAAAGTGACTGTGTCTGCGAAGTGAGCACCACATCCCAGTGTTCCTTTCTCTCTCGATTTGCATGACCCTACCCAATGCCTCACCTTTAACCCTTTCCTTTGGCACACAGCAAACAGAGCCATGGATCAGCAACTAAACATACTGTAGGGGTTGGGGGTCTGACTTCACTTGCTGGAAGTTGTAGTTCGCGCTGCATCAAGACAGAGCCCCCTGACCCCTACCAACAATGGACCTGGACCACAATTGGCACACAGAACCCCAATTACCAGGTTTGGAGGGAACTGACCTTCATTTATAGAAGTCGTAGTTCTCCTACTTCCAGAGAATCCAAGCAACGATGGATCTCGACCAAAATTACCATGGATGATGGGATTTGCAGTACCTTCACTCACTTCTAGAGACCACTGCAACCCCCACGAATGATGGACCAGGACCATCCTTGGCACACAGACCCCCCTTGACCTACTGTAAGTCCCGGTGCAATTTGGGGGAGGATAGTCCATGGATGATGGGACAGCATTTTTCCGAATGAAGCAAAGAATGTTTGAGGACCGGTACATCCGTAGGGATACCAAGGTGCTTATTTATAAAGCTGTTGTCCTCCCAACCCTGCTATACGCCTGCGAGACGTGTACTGTCTACAGATGTCACATGCAACTTCTGGAACAATTCCATCAGTATTGCCCCGGAAAATCCTCTTGGGAAGACAGGCGGACAAATGTCAGTGTGCTGGAAGAAGCAAAGACCACCAGCATTGAAGCGATGGTCCTCCGCCATCAACTCCACTGGACTGGCCACGTCCGGATGCCCGACTACCATCTCCCAAAGCAGTTGCTCTACTCCAAACTCAAGAACGGAAAACCGAACGTTGGTGGGCAGGAAAAGAGATTGAAAGATGGGCTCCAAGCCAACTTTAAAAACTCTGGCATAGACACTGAGAACTGGGAAGCCCTGGCCCTTGAGCACTCCAGCTGTAGGTCAGCTGTGACCTGCAGTGCTGCAGAATTTGAAGAGGCATGAATAGAGGGTGAAAGAGAGAATCGTGCCAAGAGGAAGGTGCATCAAGCCAACCCCGACCAGGACCGACTTCCACCTGGAAACCAATGCCCTCACTGTGGGAGAAGATGCAGATCAATAGGGCTCCACAGTCACTTACGGACCCACCAGAATACTGATCCTGGAAGACTATCCTACTCAGCCAACGAGGGATCGCCTAAGTAAGTAAGTAAGTCCACGGATTATGGGATTAGGCTCCAACTTCCACAGACCACTACAACCCACACAAATGATGGACCTGGATCAAATTTGGTACACAGACTCCCCATGATCAACAGTTAAGCGGCTGAGGGGGGAAAGGAAAGGGCCTGAGGCTGTTAGGAATTGTGGGAGTTGAAGTCCAAAACAGCTGGAGGGCCGAAGTTTGCCCATGTCTGTGATAGAACCAATTAAGAAATGACATTTATAACCCAGGAACAAAAATTGTCTTACATAGTGTAATTGTTCATTCTATAATTGGAGGTTTCTAATGTTTACTCACTCAACCAGAGACCCCGAGGGCCATCCATCCGCCTTGCACCAGTCTCCCTCCCACTTTAATATCCCCTTGAATAAATCCAGAGACATCCTGATAAAGTGGTGATGTTGTCTTTAATTGGGAGAAATCCGTTTGTGTTTTGCAGTCATGATGAAATAGGGCACAAAATCACAAGTGAGAGCTGATCCGGTCAAACTGTCCAGGATTGCATCCAGTGAGGAAACGGAGCTCCATCCGGCCTTCGTTGGTACTTGCTGAGGTCACAATATTTTTTTAAAAGGAAGGGAAATAGGAAGGTATGATGAAGAGTACAGAATGACTGGCTATAGATACATAAGCAGTGCATATACTGGGTTGCGGTGAGTTTTGCAGGCTGTATGGCCATGTTTCACAAGCATTCTCTCCTGAAGTTTCACCCACATCTATGGAGACAGAGATTGTGAGGGTTGTTGGAAACTAGAAAAGTGAGGTTTATGTATCTGTGGAATGATGTCCAGGGTGGGAGAAAAAACTCTTGCCTGCTTGAGGCAAGTGTGACTGTTGCAATTAATCACCTTGATTAGCATTCCAAAGCCTTGCAATTTCAAGGCCTGGCTACTTCCTGCCTGGGGGAATCCTTTGTTCGGTCACCTTGATTAGCACTGAATGGCCTTGCAGTTTCAAAACCTGTCTGCTTCCTGCCTGGGGGAATGAGGGCCAGCTAACACCTCCCAACAGAGGATTCCCCCAGGCAGCAAGCAGCCAGGCTTTGAAGCTGGAAGTCTATTCAGTGCTAATCAAGGGTTTTTTCCCCTTGTGTCAGGATCAACTTGAGAAACTGCAAGTCACTTCTGGTCAAATTCAACTTAAGAACAAACCTGCAGAACCTATCTTCTTAGTTAAACATGAGCCAACAATGTGATGTGGCGGCAAAAAAAGCCAATGGGATTTTGGCCTGCATCAATAGGAGCCTAGTGTCTAGATCGAGGGAAGTCATGCTACCCCTCTATTCTGCTTTGGTTAGACCACACCTGGAATATTGTGTCCAATTCTGGGCACCACAATTCAAGAGAGATATTGACAAGCTGGAATGTGTCCAGAGGAGGGCGACTAAAATGATCAAGGGTCTGGAGAACAAGCCCTATGAGGAGCGGCTTAAGGAGCTGGGCATGTTTAGCCTGAAGAAGAGAAGGCTGAGAGGAGACATGATAGCCATGTATAAATATGTGAGAGGAAGCCACAGGGAGGAGGGAGCAAGCTTGTTTTCTGCTTCCATGGAGATTAGGAGACAGAACAATGGCTTCAAACTACAAGAGTAGAGATCCCATCTGAACATGAGGAAGAACTTCCTGTGAGAGCCGTTCAGCAGTGGAACTCTCTGCCCCGGAGTGTGGTGGACGCTCCTTCTTTGGAGGCTTTTAAACAGAGGCTGGATGGCCATCTGTCAGGGGTGATTTGAATGCAATATTCCTGCTTCTTGGCAGAATGGGGTTGGACTGGATGGCCCATGAGGTCTCTTCCAACTCTTTGATTCTATGATTCTATGATTATGGGAGGCTTATCTCATGTCCTCCCATGGGGAGCTGGAGCTGACAGAAGGAGCTCATCTGCACTCTCCCTAGGTAATTAAGGTGGTCAATTGCAACATTCACACTTACCTCCAACAGATAAGAGTTCTTTCTCCCACCCTGGACACGCCACAAACCTCACTTGCCTGGTTTCCAACAGACCTCACAACCTCTGAGGGTGACTGCCATAGATGTAGGTAAAATGTCAGGAGGGAATGCTTCTGGAACATGGCCAGACAGCCCGGAAAACTCATAGCAACCCAGTGAAAGCTTTTGACAACACAGTGTATATACTACTTCTTGACTGCTCTCACCTTTTTCATGCTGAAGCCACTTCTGTTCCAAGTAGTACTGGTAGCAGCTCTCAAATTCCCGGTCTGTGTAGTTGTGGACCTGAATCGGGACGAAGGGATCCAGGGCATCGAAACCCTTCTGAGAGAGGAGGAATGAATAGGAAGAGTTATGGTGAACGGACATCATAGACATTTATTGTCCACTAGCTGTACCCACCACGCGATGCTGTGGCCAGCCTTCCTCTTTCTCTCCTTCTTTCCCTCCCTCAATTCCTTCCTTTTTTTCTTTCCTTCTCTCCTTCCTTCCTTCTCTTCCTCTTTTCTTCCTCCCCCCTTTTCTTTCCCTTCCCATTTCTCCCTTTTCTTCCTTCTCTATCTATTCTTGGATTGCAATTCCAAGCAGTCCTCCTGATTGATTGATCTATCTACCTACCTATCTATCTCCATCTAATCTATCTATCTGGAGGATTGTTGGGAATTGCAGCCCAGGAATAGGAAATTGGAAACATGCAGGGACTGGGATGCTCTCAAAGCAATCCAAGGAGAAGAAAGCTTGCATCTTGGAAGACACATACATTTATGTCGAAATGGAAGCTTGGGGCTTTTATTGCTCTTATTATTATTTTGTGGCAATGTAATCATAATAATAATAATACCTGCACCTTAACTTCAGGCTCACCTTTCCTAGTAATTCGTGAGGTAAGTACGCCTTGCGGGGCTTCAAGATAGAGCCTGTTTGGCTGAGGGTGGTCACAATGGCTCCTCCAGTCTGGAAATACAAAGAGAATGGCACATCAGAGAGAACATTCCCTCTGTTCTGTGCATCATAATAATAAATAATAATAAACTTTATTTATATCCCACCATCATCTCCCCAAAGGGGACTCGGGGCGGCTAACATGAGGCCAAGCCCAAAATTTCATACAAATACAGCAAAATAAAATACAAAGAAGCAAAATACCATCAAAATAATATATACATAACGTAACGAAATAAACAGTTCCATCGCTGTTTTCTTGGAATGCTTCTTAGCCATCAGACATGGAGACAATTGCAAAGCAGCTCTTTCCTTATGCTAGAGCAGTGTTTCTCAACCTTCCTCACGTTGTGGTGACCCACAACCATAACATTATTTTCGTTGCGACTTCATAAACGTAATTTTGCTACTGTTATGAATCGTCATGTAAATATGCAAGGATGTGTTTTCATTCACTGGACCAAATTTGGAACAAATACCCCATATTCCGTACCTTGGGAAGTCTGACTTGGCCACAGTGGTCCGCGCTCTTGTTACATCCCGAATAGATTACTGCAACACGCTCTACGTGGGGTTGCCTTTGAAGACTGTTCGGAAACTTCAACTAGTCCAACGGGCAGCAGCTAGACTACTCACCGAGCATCATACAGGGAGCATACCACCCCTCTGCTATGTCAGCTCCACTGGCTGCCGATCCAGTTCCAAGCACAATTCAAAGTGCTGGTTTTGACCTATAAAGCCCTATACGGCTCCGGCCCAACGTACCTATCCGAACGTATCTCCTTCTACATCCCGCCTAGGAATTTAAGATCTTCTGAAGAGGCCCTGCTTTCGGCCCCGCCCTTGTCACAAACAAGACTGAGGGACGAGGGACAGGGCCTTCTCGGTGGTGGCCCCCCGCCTGTGGAATTCACTCCCCGGGGAAATTAGATCATCGTCATCCCTCCTCTCTTTGAGAAGGAAATTAAAAACAGGGATATGGGATTTATAGTTCACCTTCAATCAAAGAGCATTCTGAATGCCACCAATGATGGAACTGAACCAAACTTGGCACACAGAACTCCCATGACCAACAGAAAATACTGGAAGGGTTTGGTGGGCATTGACCTTGAGTTTTGGAGTTGTAGTTCACCTATATCCAGAGAGCACTGTGGACTCAAACAATGATGGATCTGGACCAAACTTGGCACGAATCCTCAATATGCCCAAATGTGAACACTGGTGGAGTTTGGGAAAATAGAATTTGACATTTGCGGGTTATAGTTGCAGGGATTTATAGTTCACCTACAATCAAAGAGCATTCTGAACGCCACCAACGATGGAATTGAACCAAACTTGGCACACAGAACTCCCATGACCAAGAGAAAATACTGGAAGGGTTTGGTGGGCATTGACCTTGAGTTTTGGAGTTGTAGTTCACCTACATCCAGAGAGTACTGTGGACTCAAACAATGATGGATCTGGACCAAACTTGGCACGAATCCTCGATATGCCCAAATGTGAACACTGGTGGAGTTTGGGGAAAATAGACCTTGACATTTGCGGGTTGTAGTTGCTGGGATTTATAGTTCACCTACAATCAAAGAGCATTCTGAATGCCACCAACGATAGAATTGGGCCAAACTTCCCACACAGAACCCTCATGACAAACTGAAAAACTATGTTTTCTAATGGTCTTTAGTGACTCCTCTGACACCCCTTTGCAACCCCCAGGTTGAGAAACACTGATTTAAATGGGTCGGTCAAGTCCCTCAAATAGTTCATTTTAAGGATGCATTGGCCATTAGCTTAGTTAGGAAAAGTTATGAATCTCCAGCCTCCTCACCCAGTCATTGGCCAGCATCTTCCTCAAGTTGTGGACCAGCGTCAATTCCTCTACGACTACCTAAGAAGAAAAACAGAAGCTGTGGTTATGCTATATTTCCACTCTCCCCATGCCAAAAGAGAAGCTCCTATACTGGCATCAAGGACCTTGATAGAATCATCTATATAAATAAAAATGTCATGTTTGTTTGTGGGATTAACATAACTCAAAAACGACTGGACGAATGGACACCAAATTTGGACACAATACACCTATCAGGCCAACGAGTGATCCTAACTCAACACACACCCCCCCCCACCAAAATAAACAGTGGAAAGGACTTATAAAACCAAAAACCTAAATGACAATACAGAAAAAAGGAGGAGGGAGAAAGAAGGAAAGAAAGAGTGAATGAAAGAGAGAAGGAAGGAAGGAAAAAGGTAGAGAAGGAAGAAAGTAGAAAAAGAAGAAGGAAAAGAAGAAGGGGGAAGGAAAGAAGGAAAAGGAAGGAAGGAAAGGGAGCAAAGGAAGGAGGGAAAGAAGGAGAGAAAGAGGGAGGGAAGGAAAGAAGGAAAGAGAGAAGGAAGGGTGGAAGCAAAAAGCGAAGGAAGGAAGGAAAGAGGAGGGAAAGAAAGGGGGGAAGTAAGGAAAGAGGGAAAGAAGGAAGGAAGGAAAAAGGTAGAGAAGGAAGAAAGGAGGAAAAGAAGGAAAAGAAAAAGAGGGAAGGAAAGAAGGAAAGGGAAGGAAGGAAAGGAAGCGAAGGAAGGAGGGAAAAAAGGAGAAAGAGGGAGGGAAGGAAAGAAGGAAAGAGAGAAGGAAGGAGGTAGAGAAGGAAGGAAGGAGAGAAAGAGGGAAGGAAAGAAGGAAAGGGAAGGAAAGGGAGCGAAGGAAGGAGGGAAAGAAGGAGAAAGAGGGAGGGAAGGAAAGAAGGAAAGAGAGAAGGAAGGAGGTAGAGAAGGAAGGAAGGAGAGAAAGAGGGAAGGAAAGAAGGAAAGGGAAGGAAAGGGAGCGAAGGAAGGAGGGAAAGAAGGAGAAAGAGGGAGGGAAGGAAAGAAGGAAAGAGAGAAGGAAGGAGGTAGAGAAGGAAGGAAGGAGAGAAAGAGGGAAGGAAAGAAGGAAAGGGAAGGAAAGGGAGCGAAGGAAGGAGGGAAAGAAGGAGAAAGAGGGAGGGAAGGAAAGAAGGAAAGAGAGAAGGAAGGAGGTAGAGAAGGAAGGAAGGAAGGAGAGAAAGAGGGAAGGAAGGAAGGAAAGAAGGAAGGAAAAAGGTAGAGAAGGAAGAAAGGAGAAAAAGAAGGAAAAGAAAAAGAGGGAAGGAAAGAAGGAAAGGGAAGGAAGGAAAGGGAGCGAAGGAAGGAAAGGAGAGAAAGAGGGAGGGAAGGAAAGAAGGAAAGAGAGAAGGAAGGAGTAATAACAAAAGTTTGCTCCAGGCACTGCCAGGCAATCAAATACTAATCAAGGTGATCAGTTGAAACATTCACACCTAGCTCCAGCAGACAAGAGTCCTTTGTCTCACCCTGGTCATTCCACAGATATATAAACTCCTTTTTCCTAGTTCCAACAGACCTCACTACCTCTGAGGATGCTTGCCATAGATGCAGGCGAAACGTCAGGAGAGAAAGCCTCTAGACCATAGCCATATAGTCCGAAAAAACCTACAACAACCCAATAACAATGCTAAAAAGCACTCTACATATTAATTATGATTCTACCCTTTGAGAATATGCTAAATAGGTCATGCAATATCAGGATGGCAATGGCCAGAGAATTATTTGAAGGTGAGGAATGCTGTTTTACTATTGAAAGCAAGCAGACCTGCAACTGTGTTTGGGCAAGAATGGAAAGCCACTTGAGAGCTCTCTGGAATGATCATTCCAAATTCTAAATGGCACTATAGGGCTTATGTACACTCATTTTCAAAGAACTTCTGGCACAGAACTAAAGATGCATGGCAACCAACACTGGAGGAGCGGGCCATATGCTCCCCACACACGCTGCAGGGCCCCATACTTCGCTCTTGTCCTGTTTCTTCAGCGTCGTCTGCCCCCAAAGAGAATTGACTCCATCCACGGCCACTAAAAGGCGGAAAGGCCCTTGAGGGCATTGCCGCTTCAGCTCTTTCATGATCACCCCGACGGCATCGCTGGCATTCTTCACTCGAGTCAAACCCTATAGGGTTAGAGAGAGGAGAGAAGAGAAATTTTATTTATTTATTTACGACATTTATATGCTGCCTGATAGAAATAAGCAGTTATGAAGATGTGTTAAAGACTTCTGATATAGAGAAGCAGTTAGTTAAATAGACCTCGAGTTTTTAAGGAACATAAAGAAGGCTAGTGTTGCCTCAGTTCAGAATATAATTCAGCCAAGAGTGTGTAAAGCAAGTAACATGTTTGTGAATGTGAAACATGATAGTTATTCAGAAAAGTTAACCAAGCAAATGATACTGACTGTAAGCCTCAAGATTGCAACAAAACACAAATGTAACCACAAGCATGGGAGCCAGAAGTTATAAATAAACCGTGTTACTTTGTTATACACAAGAGTGTTTCATTGCCTGTGATATAAAGTACAAAGGTTTAACCGCATACAGAAAGTCCCAGCCAATATAAAAGAAACTGAATCAGTATAACGCAGCAAAGAGGTTTTTAAAGAGGAAATAGTCTCTCTCCCTCGCCTCACAACATACATACAATATATTATATTATTAGCATAGTACAATACCAGTATTATATATTACTATATTGTACTATACCATTGTGCTGGCTGAGCTGCTGACTTGAAGGTTTATTTTTTTTCTTTCTTTCTTTATTTACGGCATTTCTATGCCGCACTTCTCACCCAGAAGGGGACTCAGAGCGGCTTACAACATATATATACATGCAATATATTATATTATTAGCATAGTACAATATCAGTATTATATATTACTATATTGCACTATACCATTGTGCTGGCTGAGCTGCTGACCTGGTTTATTTGTTTTTTTTATTTATTTACGACATTTCTATGCCGCCTTTCTCACCCCAAAGGTGATTCACGGCGGCTTACAAGATATATATACATTTGTTCATTCGTTCAGTCGTCTCCGACTCTTCGTGACCTCATGGACCAGCCCACGCCAGAGCTCCCTGTCGGCCGTCACCCCCCCCAGCTCCTTCAAGGTCAGTCCAGTATTATAATATTATAATAATATTGAAACAATATTGAAACACGGCTCTCAAGTTTCTTTTCAAACATCTCTTCTGAAGACTACACAGATCTTTAAGCCACTCCTCATAGGGATTAATGGTTTTCACACCTTTGATCATTTTAGTCAGCCTCCAGCTTGTCAAGCTACTCTCCTAAAATACCCCCAAATCCCAACTAGAGTTCACAGTTTTCTAGCACTCCCAATGGATACTTCACCTGCTCTACCACTGCTCCCAGGGGGCTGCCTTCCGCGGTGCTCTCTCGCTTGCTCCACACATAGCTTTGTTGTGTTTTGATCTGCAAGATGAAAAGAGTAAGAAGGAAAGAACTGGGTCAGACCAAAAATCCATCTAGCATTCCATAGCCGGGGGGCCACCACAGATAAAGCCCTGTCTCTCGTTCCCACCAGACGCGACTGCGAAGGTGGTGGGACCAAGAGCAGGGCCCCTCAAGACGTTCTTAACACTCTTGATGGTTCATAGGGGAGAATATGTTTGGACAGGTAAACTGGGCCAGAACTGTGTAGGGTTTTGTAGGTTAAGACCAGCACTCTGAACAGTGCTCGGAAGCTAATTGGCAGCCAGTGGAACTGGCGCAAACAGGAAATTGTGCGCTCCCTGTACCTCGCTCCCATTAGGAGCCTGGCTGCCGAGCATTGGACTAATTGCAGCTTCCGAACAGTCTTCAAAGGCAACCCCATGTAGAGAGCATTCCAGTAGTCTAAACAGGATGTAAGCAGATGTAATATGCTATTATTATTATTATCATCATCATCATCATCATCATCATCATCATCATCATCCGTTTAAGACAAAGATATACTTTCTTTCCACCAATACCTATCCTTTCACGAAAACATGCAAAAAAAGTACCGCACAAATTCAAAAGGATGGAGTGTACTAAAAGGACCTGTTGGCAACAACAGCATCTACTGACCTCTTTCAAGAAACGCTCATTGGTGTTTTTGAAATTCTTCAGCCAGGTTGAGGCTTCCAGAGGTTGGTCAAAGCGCTCGTTGTTATAAGTAGAAGGCAGCAGTTGTTTACAATTCTTTACCCACAAGTGAGCTGCAGCGAAAAGAGAGAGAGAGACAGTGCAATGAAGTAGGGAGGAAGTTGACATCCAGGAAACAAATGATCCCTGAGCACAGTTCGGTTCTATCTAGAGAGCATTTCAGCCAGCTTTAAGTGCTTCATCAGTGTCACAAATGGACGGTGAAGCAACAGCTCCCCTGGTGGCCAGAATACCCTCATGAAAAAGCTGGAATGTTAAATAGCCTCTGTGTGTCTGTCTATATATGTTGTGTGTCTATGGTATAGAATGTTTGCCAAGTATATGTACATTGTAATCTGCCCTGAGTCCCCTGCAGGGTAAGGAGGCCGGGATGTAGGTGAACTACAACTCCCAAACTCAACGTCCACCAAACCCTTCTAGTCTTTTCTGTTGGTCATGGGAGTCCTGTGTGTCACCTTTGGTTCAGTTCCATCATTGGTGGAGTTCAGAATGTTCTTTGATTGTAGGTGAATTATAAATCCCAAGAAATACAACTCCCAAATGTCAAGGTCTATTTCCCCCAAACTCCATCTGTGTTCATATTTGGGCATATGGTATATTGGTGCCAAGTTTGGTCCGGATCCATCATTGTTTGAGTCGACAGTGGTCTCTGGATGTAAGTGAACTACAACTCCCAAACTCAATGCCCACCAAACCCTTCTAGTTTTTTCTGTTGGGCGTGGCAGTCCTGTGTGCCACATTTGGTTCAATTCCATCATTGATGGAGTTCAGAATGTTTTTTGATTGTAGGTGAACTATAAATCTCAAGAACGACAACTCCCAAATGTCAAGGTCTATTTTCTCCAAACTCCATCTGTGTTCATATTTGGGCATATGGAATATTTGTGCCAAGTTTGGTCCAGATCCATCATTGTTTGAGTCCACAGTGGTCTCTTGATGTAGGTGAACTACAACTCTCAAACTCAAGGTCAACACCCACCAGTTTTTCTGTTGGGCATGGTAGTCCTGTGTGCCAAGTTTGGTTCAATTCCATCGTTGATGGAGTTCAGAATGCTCTTTGATTGTAGGTGAACTATAAATCCCAGCAAGTACAACTCCCAAATGACAAAATCAAATTTTTTTTGGCATGAAGGACATACATTGGGTTGTTAGGTGTATGCTGTCCAAATTTCGTGTCAATTTGCCCACTGGTTTTTGAGTTCTGTTAATCCCACAAATGAACATTACATTTTTATTTATATAGATAGATGTTCCTATCCCGCTCTTCTCAGCCCGAAGGGGACTCAGAGTGGCTTGTTGTTGAGAATAAACAAATTAAAACCTTTCAAATTGTTTAAAGGAGTTCTACCCTTGCTTGGCAACAGGTTTCTTAAGCAATGAGAAACCTAACATCACAAAAAGATAATGGGAACTAAGCAAAATAGAAAATACAAACACTAAGCATTGCTGTGCTGTACTTCCAAAGGGCTTAAGAGCCCTTGACTCAAAGCCAAAGGACCTGTCGGCCCAAGAGACTACACAAACCTCCTTACCATCTGGAATGTGTAGGATGAGCCAGTTCTGCCTTGCACAGTAATGGATGACATGGCAAAGGGTCATGGTCTTCCCCGTGGACTTCTCACCATCTTCAAGGAAATGCTGTTAAGGAAATGGAACTGCAGAGGGATGGCTTTCCTGATGCTTCTTAAACGCTTTCCGTGAAGGAGTGCCTGTTATCCCCAAAAGCGGTTTGCTCCACCATCAAACACCTCTTAATTCTCCCAAGTGGTACTCTGCTATCTCTGGGTTCAAATCCTTATGTTAATTGCATCCCAGAACAAATTAAGAACTTTGCACCAAAAGCAAGATGCTGGCTGCTGAAGCTGATTAACAACTGCATTGCATTCTGTCAGATCCCTAAAATCTGGAGGAAAGCAAGAGTCATAGTCATTTTGAAACCAGGCAAAGTCTGTAATGACCCAAAAAGCTATAGACCAATCTCCTTGTGCCATCTTTACAAAGTTCTGGAGAGACTTATTTTGTACAAACCAGGTGTCCCCAAACTTTTTAAACAGAGGGCCAGGTCACAGTCCCTCAAACTGTTGGAGGGCCAAATTATAATTTGAAAAAAACATGAACGAATTCCTATACACACTGGACATATCTTATTTGTAGTGCAAAAACACTTTAAAACAATATAATAATTAAAATGAAGAACAACTTTAACAAATATAAACTTATTAGTATTTCAATGGGAAGTGTGGGCCTACTTTTGGCTGATGAGATAGGATTGTTATTGTTGTTGTTGTGTGCTTTCAAGTCGTTTCACACTATGGTTGACCCTGAGCGAGGGCTGGGTAAATGACCTTGGAGGGCCGTATTCGACCCTTGGGCCTTAGTTTGAGGACCCCTGGTATACACTTATGGAAAAAATAGACCCATGTATGATTCCACAGCAAGCTGGTTCCAAGAAAAGGGAAAAAAGGAAAGGAAAAAACGCACAAAGACTGAGCCAAGTTTTGAACTTGACTCAACCCCAATGATTTTGGAAGGCATATCACAGGAGCTGTCTTCCAAGACCTGTCAGCAGCTTATGATACTGTAAACCAGGAGTCCTCAAACTACGGCCCACGGGCCAAATACGGCCCTCCAAGGTCATTTACACGGCCCTCGCTCAGGGTCAACCTAAGTCGGAAACTACTTGAATGCACACAACAACAACAACAACAACAACAACAACAATCCTATCTCATTAGCCTGCACTGCATCCTGTCAGATCCCCAAAATCTGGAGGAAAGCAAGAGTCATCGCCATCTTGAAGCCAGGCAAAGACCGTAATGATCCAAAAAGCTACAGACCAATCTCCCTGTTGTGCCACCTTTACAAAGTTCTGGGGAGACTTATTTTGCATAGAATTATGGAAAAAATAGACCCCTGTCTGATTCCACAGCAAGCTGGCTTCAGGAAAGGCAAAAGCTGCACCTCGCAAGTGCTGAACCTGACTCAGCACATAGAAGATGGCTTTGAAAGGCAGCAGATCACAGGCGCTGTCTTCATACACCTGTCAGTGGCTTATGATACTGTCAACCACCGCCTCCTCCTGAGAAAAATGTATAATAGGTTCTTGTGGGTTTTTTCGGGCTATAGAGCCATGTTCTAGAGGCATTTCTCCTGACGTTTCGCCTGCATCTATGGCAAGCATCCTCAGAGGTTGAGAAGGTCTGATGTATAATATCACAGGGCAGGAAAAGAGATTTAAAGATGGGCTCAAAGCCAACCTTAAAATCTCTGGCATAGACACTGAGAACTGGGAAGGCCTGGCCCTTGACTGCTCCAGCTGGAGGTCAGCTGTGACCAGCAGTGCTGCAGAATTTAAAGAGGCACGAATGGAGGGCGAAAGGGTGAAGCATGCCAAGAGGAAGGCGCATCAAGCCAACCCCGACCGAGACCGCCTTCCACCTGGAAACCAATGCCCTCACTGCGGAAGAATATGCAGAGCAAGAATAGGGCTCCACAGCCACATACGGACTCACAAGAACACTGGAAGACAATCATCCTCGGCAAACGAGGGATTGCCTAAGTGAGGAAGTGAAGTGAAAGTGTATGAATGTGTGCATGTGCATATGTATATGACTGTATGTGTATATATGGTATAATTTTGGGGTTTTAAGTCTGCTCCGCTGAGGTTTTGTGTGTGTGTGCGTGTGCGCACATGTGTGTTTATGGGTGATGGACACTCGTTGGACTGTTAGGTGCCTTGTGTCCAAATTTGGTGTCAATTCGTCCAGTGGTTTTTGAGTTATGTTAATCCCACGAACGAACCTTACATTTTTATTTATATAGATGAAGCTATTCCCAGAGTTTCCTGGCGATGGCACTGCATCCCAATTCTTAAATAAACTCACTATCATTGAGCAGGTTATTGTCAGTTTCTAGGTCGTGGAGTGAGAAGACGTTAATGTGGAATGCTCAAAACACTGACGTCATCATACTTTTCCGACTAACTCTCAAAATGGTCACTCCTTGGATGTTTATTTGAGTCTTTCATGGCCATATCTTGCCTTGAAATCACATTTTTCCCCCGGAAATAATGCGTTATTCTCTATTTCTTTCTTTTTTTAAAAAAATGGCATGCAATTTCAAGTATTCCTTGAAAACCTCGGCTGCTTAACACACCTCACCAATGATGCTCCGAGGCTCATGAGGAAATGAAAGACTAACATAAAAGACAAAGACTACATAAGCTTTACTCATTAGGATACAGATGACATATCGGATGGCTGGATGAGAAAAGTTGGTGTGTTTTAAGTAGGTAATGAGTTCGAGGGCTGGCTCCCGCACCATAAAGCAGGTTTCATTGAGGGTTTTCCTCTGTTAGGACGAAAAGAAGGCAGAGAGTACCCACACTTTGGAGAGGATTCGTCTAGTATGGGCAAACCTAGGCCCGGGGGCTTGGATGTGGCCCCTTGGGCTCTTTTCTCAGGCCCTCCTCTCTCTCGTCATCCTATCTTTCCTTCCATCTCTCTTTCCTCTATCTTCCCTTGCTTCTCTTGCTCACTTCTCTTTTTCCTTCCTTCCTCCTTCCCTCTCTCCCTTCCTTCCTCCTTCCCTCCCTCCCCTCCCTTCCACTGTTTCATCCCTTCTTCCCTCTTTCCCTCTTTCTCTTTCCATTCCACCCTCCCTTTCATTCTTCTTTCCTTCTCTTTTTCCTTCCTCCTTCCCTTCCTTCCATCCTTCCCTTCCACCGT